ATATAATCAGGATTATGGGAGTTGGATACTGTTCGAATCGATAGATAGATACATCTCCGACTCAATCCCTCTCGCGATTGCGTTCTGGTTTGCAGCTCCATATGCTGGCATGCCGGACTCTGGTTCTCTCGAGCTCATACTAGATTACGAGGCGACCAACCACTGTGCCATCCTCGTCGACGGCGAGACGTTCCCCGCTCACCGTGCCGTGCTCGCTGCCCGCTCGCCGGTGTTCCGGGCGGAGCTCCTTGGCTCCATGGCGGAGGCGAAGATGTCGTGTATCACTCTGCACGACATCGAGCCTGTGACGTTCAGAGCTCTACTTCGGTTCGTCTACACCGACGAGTTGCCTGCAGACGACGGCGGCGAGCTCAATACGACAGCAATGGCGACCGAGAGGAAGAAGGGAGGAGGCTGCCTACTGATGGGGAGAAGGGCGGGGAGCGGCAACCATCAGGCTGGGAAGCTAGCGAGCGTGCGCGGAGAGGGAGGAGGCGGGGAGGCCGATGAGCAGGACGGAGAGCCGACGAGCGGGACGGGGCGAGGAGGCCGACGAGCGGGATGGGGAGGCCGGCGAGCACGCGAGGAGAGGGAGAAGGTGGGGAAAGGGGCGGAGGGCGATAGCCATCGGGCGGGGAGGCCAATGAGCTTGCGTGGAGAGGGAGGAGGCGGGGAGGCCCTCAGCCCGTCGATCTCCCTATCCTGGTGGCCTTGACTCCCCACGTCTTCGCCCACGACGCCGCCGGTAGTCTCCATCCTCACAGCGACGCTGCCGGTTTCAGTCATACTACTTTTGCCACACCCTCGGTGAGCACCCATGCACAAAGCCTCTTTGAAATTGCTAATTAGCGCGTATGCGCCATCAGACTAACTCGCGCGCGTTTCTAGCCCATACTCATACGCGACCCACACACTCGCGCTTACCCCATCGCTTCCTTTTTTTACGCTTCTTCTGGCGATTGTTATTTTGGGTAAATCTTTCCTTTTTTTTCTCCACATGCGTGATTCTTTTTAGGATATTTTATAAATTAAATCTTTACCTCCCATTTCACTTGAGAATTTTGAATTTGAATTGATTTTTTTTAAAATTTAAGTTGAATGTTTTGAATTTTAAGATGAAAGTTTTCAAATTTAAATTGAATATTTTGAATTTTGAGGCAAAAGTTTTAAAATTTGAGTTAAAAGTTTTTAAATATTGACTTAAACTTTTTTTAAGTTTGAGTTGAAAGTTTTCAGATCCGAGTTGAAAGTTTCAAATATTGATTTGAAAGTTTCAAATCTTGATTTGAATAAAGTTTTCAAGTCTATATTGAAAATTTTCAAATCCAAGTTGAAAATTTTCAAATCCAAGTTGAAAGTTTTCAAATCTGAGTTTAAAGTTTTTAAATCTTGACTTGAGAATTTACAAATTTGAGTTGAAAATTTCAAAAAAAATTGAGTTGAAAGTTTCAAATCTTGACTTACAAGTTTTCAAACATAAGTTGAAAGTTTTAAATCTTCAATTTAAAAGTTTGTTGCAGTTAAATTTTCGTACCTATCCCAATTTGTCGTGTCCTAAATAAAAGGAATAAAATGTGTGGGCAGTTATTTTTTCAAATAAAAAAGAAAAGAAAAAAGAAAAGAAAAGAAAAGCGAGAACGCTACCCGTACTACCCGTACCGCCGATCCCGCGCGCGAGTTAATCTCCCCACGTGCACGCGTGGGATAGGAGGCCCCCATCCTCTTTCTCATATCTCCCGAGCACACCGGTGGTCGAGCTCGATGACGTTGCGGCCGTCGCCTAGCACCTCCCCACCAGCCATCGGCCGCCGCTCCGCTAGAGAGCTAGACAGAGATGGGGAAGAGGGTGAGAGAGGAAGAAGCCGGCGTGTTGTATCAGTGACATGCGGAGGGACCTGTTGCATCTGGTATTGCAGTTCAGGGAGGAAAATTGAACTCGGTGTAAAGTTAAGGGACCCAAATGAACTTATTCCTTTATATGAGGTTGTGCGTGTTGTCCATGGGCCTGGACGTGCAAAGCTGGGCTTCTCCTAGACAGGCCCGTAGACGGACCAAGGCCTGGTAGATGCCCCCTGGACCACGTCTGGTTTGCACGCCGGGCGAACAAGCGCGCGAGCTGAACCGAAGAGACGAGCATCGGGTCAAGGTGATCGAAGAGTTCAGCACAAACCTAGACATCACACAGATGCAGTACTAGTAAAACAATGATCTTGTTGTATAGCAGCGCTGCTAGTCATTTTGATGAATAAGAATGAGAATTACTGCTACTCGAAACTCGAGGAGTTCCATATCTCAGTGCTGATCAATTTTCTTTTTCGAGGTGGAGTAAATCACTGCTGATCACTTGATCAGTATAAGTATAAGGGCAAGTTTTATAATAGATGTGGTGGTCACCTCCAATTTTATCCACATCATCCATTCAAAAAATTAAAATTAACTTATATAAATGCATTGCATTTAATACACTAGTCCCAATACACTTGCCACCAATCAGCCCTCTTATTTTCTCTTGTTCTTTGAAATTTGTGTGGAGGTTGCCCCTTGCATGAGGGATGGCTCCTCCCCTCTCTTCTCTTCTCTCCTCCACATCATTATTTAAGCATACATGGCACTTTGGAGTTTGTGCTTAGAACCTTAGGGCAAGTACTATAGGCATTTAAGCACAATCACCTAGATGCCACCTAATTTTAAATGATGATGTGGAGGAGAGAGTAGATGAGAGAGAGGATGAGCCACCCCTCATGCAAGGGGTAACCTCTTCATAAACTTCAAGGAGGAAGGAGAAAAGAGTGAGGTTGATTGGATAAGAGTGAATAAAATAAATATTTATGTTGCATTGAGACTAGTATGTGAGCTGCCCTTAATAAATTAGTTGATGATGTGGACAATATTAGATGTGATAGTCACCTCTAACATAAAACTTGCCCTTATAGTACTTGCCCTAAAGCCATCAGGATTATTGTTCGATGCTTCAATAGATACATCTCCATTAATATTTGTGATGAATAATTGGCTTTACAAAAGATTTAATCAATAAATTGGTTTGAAAATATGTATGAATGTTGGTGTGAATGCGTGGGACTAATGTGGGTCAGGTTGTGATATCTGTGCTTAGAAACAGTTGTTTTGTCTGATTATGTGCAGGTGACCTGAGGTCAGCCTTGGTCAATGGTGAGGACCGGAACTATACTCAGGGAGGAGCAGATTAGGTCTAGTGCTGTTGAGATACCATGTGAGAAGGTGACTAGAGTCAGTATTCTTAGAGATCAACTTCGGTTAACGCTGGGGACCGGGACTAGACTCAGGGAGGAGTTGAGATCCAGACGGTCAAAGATACCGGATAACGAAGTTGGATACGAGATGGCACACCATGGATGGACATCGTGTGGGAGAGATCTTCGCAACAGGTTTCACAAGGTGTGCATATAAGCGTCGGTGTTCGTGAAGGAGATTGAAAGAAATTGGAGTGGAGTATATATTTTTTTTGAAACACAGTACAAACGCAGGCGCTCACAACGTGCGCACACTCACCCCCATGAACGCACACACGCACACCCTACCCCTATGAGCACCTCGCTGTCGACGGGTACGTCGCCTACCACTGAAAGAATAATTAGCCGTAAATGCGAGCACCCGTGTCAAATCTAGGATTTGAACTCGGGTGGGCTAGTTCCACCACAAGGAACCTAACCAGTTGAGCTATGCTCACTTCACTGGAGTGGAGTATATATGATGCTACAGTACGGCGAGGTACTGTTGGAGCATGCATATACTCCCTCCGTTTTTTAATAGATGACGTCGTTGACTTTTTCTCACATGTTTGACCATTCGTCTTATTCAAAAAATTTACGTAATTATAATTTATTTTGTTATGAGTTGTTTTATCACTCAGTACTTTAAGTGTGATTTATATCTTATACATTTGCATAAAATTTTTGAATAAGACGAATGGTCAAACATGTGAGAAAAAGTTAATGGCGTCATCTATTATAAAACGGAGGTAGTATATGTCAAGTACATGGTTGCTACAGTACACTATGAACTGTAGCGGTACACTGTAGCATACATGTGTCGTGTGTGCTGTGGATGTCGGCCTGGATGGTTGGGCTGGCTTGGATTGCTGGCGGCCCACGTTGGTATGAGATGCGGTGGGCTGCAGGGCAGCCTAGGTGGCCCACGTCGAGAGGCAGCAAGGCATCGGCCCAGCTGGCCTGTGCGGCTGGAGAGGAAGCAGCCGTGCGCAGGTGACCGAGCAGGAGACAGAGAAGGAAGTCCGACTCGGTGTGATTGTTTGTGGCCGGTGCGGCTGCAGTTTTGTTAAATTGTAAAAGGTTTGGAAATTGAGGTATTGAGTCCTAGAGTTTTTTTTTATAAATAAATGAGGGGTTGAGACTAAATGGATATTGACTTTTTGGTAGAGAAAAGTTAGGGTTTACTTCGAGGTTTCAATCCTAGTTCGTGAGTTGAGAGAGGAGTACCTTAGGTGCACTTTGTAAACATATATTGATGCAATAAAGTTGATATACTTTTAAGTGTTTCGTCGATACGTGTTTTTCTGGATCCCAACGGTTTGACCGGAGGCGATTCATTGGTCTAACCGGCGGGCGGTCACATCGGCGGCTCAACCAGCGGCAGTGGCAGGGAGGCGGTTCAACCAGCGACCAGGCGGTGGTTAGACCGGCGGCGTGCGAGCGGTCCGACCAGCAGCGATAGAACTACATCAAGTTCTCCATTGATTTGAGGGTAACTTTTATTTCCGCTAAAAGTTTTTGGGTTTTTGGTTTTATCAACTATTCACCCTTCTCTAGTAGGCTTGGTTACTCGTGTTCGATCCTACACTCCGTACTCTCTCGAGTGCGTTCTGGTTTCAGCTGCATCGTCTGCGTAGACATGCCGGACTCCGGTTTTCTCGAGTTCAAACTAGATTATGCGGCGGCCAACAAGAACTGTGCCATCGGCGACATCGTCCGCTCTGATGTCTTTCCTGCCGGAGGACACGCATGGAGGATAAGGTGCTACCCGAGTGGTATAGTAAAGAAGATAACGGTGAGTACCTCTCGCTCTTCCTCGAGCTGGTCCGCGAATCCACTTCCAACAATGTCAGGGCCATTTTTGACGCCTTCTTGGTGGAAAAAGACGACGAGCCATCTTCCACCCACGCAGACAGGGGCGTGCATGTTCACCCAACCAATGGCTATACCGCATGGGGATGGCCACAGTTCGTGAAGCGAAGCGATCTCGAGTCGTCGTCGTCGTCGTACGTGGTGGATGGCAAGGTCAGAATCATGTGTGTGGTCATCGTCATACGAGACAACACCGTGCCCGTGCCACCGTCTGACATTGGTGCCCATCTCGGTGGCCTGCTGGACCGCGGGGAAGGGACGGATGTCTCCTTCCTCGTCGACGGCGAGACGTTCCCGGCTCACCGTGCCGTGCTCGCCGCCCGCTCGCCGGTGTTCCGTGCCGAGCTCCTTGGTTCCATGGCGGAGTCCAAGATGTCCTCCATCACTTTACACGACATCGAGCCTTTGACGTTCAGAGCTCTACTTCGGTTCATCTACACCGACAAGTTGCCTGCCGACGACGGCGGTGATCAGCTCAAGATGGCAGCAATGGCGACCGATGAGCTATTCCAGAAATTGCTTGCAGCTGCTGATAGGTATGATTTGAGCAGGTTAAAGTTGATGTGTGCGCAGAAGCTATGGGAGGCAGTGTCAGTGGACACGGTTGCGACGACATTGATCCACGCTGAGATGCATGGTTGCCCAGAGCTGAAGAGTAGCTGTCTTGACTTCTTCGTGCAGGACAAGAACTTCAAGGAGACCGTGCTAACTGAGGGCTATGTGCAATTGGTGCAGCGTTTTCCCTCGATTAAGGATGAGATCAGAGGTTTGCTGAGAGCTAAATCAATGTAATGGAGTGATATTTTGTCTGGCCGTTCAAATTTGCCTTTTTCAGGACCTGTACTGTCAGGCTCTAGTTTTCTCATTTTATTTCTACTCAAATTAATAGTCCATTCCTCGATATCCACATTGATGGCAATCGACATGTCTCTTTGTGATCAAAGTTTGGAGTTTGTATGAATTAAGAATATCATTACTTTTTACCAGAAATACTCAAAGTTCATTACATTTAAATAATTTATCAAACAAAGAAAATAATATTTTTATATGAGGAATTTTACAGTCCTTGAGAAAGTACTTTGAGGTACCTAAATTTTACATTAAAATTTTTGGTACCTTGAGATACTTAGTACCTAGAGGTACCAAATAAAAACAAAATGTGGGGTCCACATGTTGGTCAAACAAAAGGAAAAAAATAGTGGGACCCACATGTTAATGGGTCCCACCCTCCTCTCTATCTCCACCACGTCCTTCTCCCTTCTCCCTCCCGGCCATCTTTTAATCCTCGAGCTCCCTCGCCGCCTGACAAGGTCGCACCGAAAGGAAGAAGGGCGGAGGCTGCCTGCTAGCGGGGAGAAGGGCGAGGCGCGGCAACCATCGGGTTGGGAAGCTGGCGAGCATGCGCGGAGAGAGGGAGGAGGCGGGGAGGCCGATGAATGGGACGGGGAGGCCGGCGAGGGGGCGAGGAGGCCGACGAGTGGGATGGGGAGGCCGGCGAGCATGCGAGGAGAGGGAGAAGGCGGGGAAAAGGGCGGAGGGTGATAGCCATCGGGTGGGGAGGCCGATGAACGGGACGGGGAGGTCGGCGTGCGCGCGAGGAGAGGGAGAAGGCGGGGAAAAGGGTGGAGGGCGACAGCCATCGTTGCACGGAGGGGGAGGAGGCGGGGAGGCCCTCAGCGCGTCGATCCTGGTGGCCTCAACTCCCCGCGTCTTCACCCGCGACGCCGCCGGTAGTCTCCATCCTGACAACAGCGACGCTGCCGGTGTCCATCCTACTGCTTCTGCCACACCCTTGGTGAGCACCCATGCACACAACCTCTTCAAAATTGCTAATTAGCGCGTATGCGCCATCAGACTAACTCGTGCACGTTTCTGGCCCATACTCGTACGTGGCCCTTATTTTTTTGGAAGTTTTTTTAGCCCTTCTTTTTTGTTTTCGTCTTTTTTAGGGAGTCGGACTTTAATTTGTTTTTTGCCTTTTTATTTATTTTATTGGGAAAACTATTGACGTTGGACGACAGAAACACTACGAATTTTTTAAGGAGGTAAAAGGGTAAAGATAAAGATCTACTAATCAAAATTTATAAAATTTTTACATAACTATGTAAACAACATACATATACCTAGGTGCCGTAGAAAATACTATCCCCTGGGAGACTTTCTACTATGCTTGGCATACATTAGAGCCATTGATTGCTCTTAATCTAACGAACTAAGGGTGTGTTTAGTTCCACGCCAAAATTGGAAGTTTGACTAAAATTGAAAGTTTGAAGAAAAAAAATAGAAGTTTATGTGAGTAGGAAAGTTTTGATGTGATGGAAAAGTTGGAAGTTTGAAGAAAAAGTTAGGAACTAAACCCAGCCTAAGATAATTGTCTCTTATCATCACTTTGAATCATCGTATAGTTAAGGACCAATCAGTACATATTCTAGGGTTTGTTAACTATTTCTTCGTTGTTATGATCACCTTATAGTAGCGCATGATTTTACTGGGGTATTTAAAATCATTTCATTCGGAGTTTGAAGAAAATTAAGAAGCGAGCTTGGGTTAGGACTGAGTGATTTACTTCCATCCTAGTTACCGATGATGGTGAAGGAAGATGGATTATATCGATGAAGTGATTGTGTATTGCCAATGGGCTAGACTATGATGCTAGTCTTTGATTAACAAAAAAAGATAATGGGTGCTAGAAAGCTATGTGTAGCTTTGGTCTTTGGGCTGCTGGCAGCAGACGTGATGGTGTGAGCCTTGCTTTGCTTTTCTACATTGCATGGCTGATCTATCCTCTAATAGAACAAGCATATTGAAGGGGTCGTTTGTTTTGATGTTGGTGCCCAAAAGCTTTGAATCTGACCACGCAAGGGTTCGTGGCCAGCAACAACCGAAAGGTGTGTTTGCTATCAGGATCAGCAATCATCCCCGAGAAGGCTAAATGGCTGTCGAATGATTTTTAATAGCTAAATCATTCATGTTTTAATATATTCAGAACTGTTGTTTTATTGTAGTAAAATGTTTCATGAGGTGATTTGATTATGATTCATATTTTTAAAAGATTAAAATATTTTTGATTTACTTGGTGAAACAACGCCTAATTGGCTTCAAAATCTACATGATGGAAGCCTAAAAAAATCATGTGAATCCCATATAGACTCTTTCTCGATGTACTCGGATTTGTTTTACGTTTCAATATATTCGGAACCGTTGTTTCATACGTTGTAGTAAAATATATCATAGGGTGATTTGATTTTGTACAGCTTTTTAAAAGATTGAAACATTTTCGATCTACTTGGTGAAACACTGCATGATGGAAGTCTAAAAAATCATGCAAATCCCACATAGACAGTCCCATTACTTAATTACTTAATTAGGTTCGAGTGATCAACAAGTTTGGAGGTTTTAACTTGCAGGCATTTTGCCTTAATTTACTTGCTTGAGCATTATCCGGTACAAGCTAAGGGCTTGTTTAGTTGGCAAAAATTTTGCCCCTGCATGTCACATCCAAGGCCGGTCCTGACATTTGAGAGGCCCTAGGAGAACTCGACACTATGGGCCCTTAAGGCATTAAGGCTAAATATTTTTTACTTCTAATACATATACTCTATAAAGCACATATACTATATAGTGACACAAATAAACATTTCTAACATGGTAAATAGTAAATCAAATAGTTTGCAAGTTGCAATACAACAATTTATTATCGATAAATAATATCGATAGTATAATTGACAACTAAAAAACACTATAGAAACAAAGTAGTATGAATACATTAATAGGAGACCACAAACATCCTATATCCCTTATAAAAAAGAGCTTCTTCACGTATTTCTTGAAGCGAAATCATTTCTTTTGTGAACCGATTAATTGATCTCCCCGTTTTCTTTTGTTTCTTTTCTGAGCACCTGACAAATGTTTTTTTGGTAACATTGTAACACCTGAAATAGTAAATATATATATTGTAAAGTAAATTATACAGCAATAACCATGAAAATTATAGCCTAACTAACCTAATTTTTCGAGTGGAAAAATCATACAATGATGCCAAGCAAGAAACTTCGGTTTGTTGTTTGCCTAATTAACCTAAGTACCTAACTAACCTCAGTTTGCCAAGGGCTTATGGCCGGCAACACCGCAACAGGAGACTGCCAGACTGGAGACGGGGAGAGGCGTGTGAGGCTCAGAGAGGCTTGGGCGTTCAGGCGTTGGCGATTAGAGGATAGAGGCGGCCCTGGCGTGCCGGTGGCCAGCCGGCCACTCGGCCAGGCGCCCGGCGACCTGGCGCCATCGACGCGGAGAGCCGGAGAGGAGACACGTCGCGGTCGCGGAGTTAGGGAGTCACTCGTGGAAGCGGAATCGTGATTCGTGAGGAGAAAAACAGAAAACGAAGCGATCTAGCGATTAGCGAAGTGGCGTCGCGGCCTTCTGCATCCCTCCCTCCTGGCTTGCGCGTGGGCTGATGGCTGGGCTGGGCTGCTGGGGGAGGGGGGTTGGGGGTTGGTGATGGGCCCCCAGCCAGCCTAGGCCCAGGGCCGACCCTCACATCGGATATATGAACACATATTTGAAGTATTAGACGTAGTCTATAACTACATTGTCAAATCATGCCGCAATTAGGCTTAAAAGATTTGTCTCGCAATTTCCTGGCAAACTGTATAATTGTTTTTTTTTCTACATTTAATACTCTATGCATGTGTCTAAACATTCTATGTGACAACGTGAAAAATTTTGTTTGGTAACTAAACAGGCTCTAAAACGAGAGAGCACTGTTGTAATGTTGTACTACTCCGTCCAAAAAAAAAAGGCAAACTCTAGCTACGAATTTGGACACGCATGTCCAGGTTCGTAGCTAGAATTGGACTTTTTTTTTTTGACGGAGGGGTACTTCCCAGTATGGCAGAGCCCAAGCTTTGCCACTGACAGCATCCATCAGATGGTTTCCTATCATAAATGGGGTTGTCAACACACATGCATGGGTCACCATTAAATGCAATATAGTTACATCATAAATATATATATATATATAGACACACACTAGAAAAGATACCCGTGCGTTGCAACGGGTGAATACTATTTTAATCTTATTATTGTTATACGGTTTGGCTAGGGTAAAATTTACTGTGGGAATTCGCTTAGATATTTTTTTTCTAGAAAATCATGTGCTGCAATTAGGAGTTTGACATTCATCTCAAGTTAACATGCAAGTATTTTTAATGAGATTTCTTATACGACTCCTTTTGTATTTCTAAAAGTAAACGAACTTAAAATCCGACTCAACATGGATATGTATTTCCAAAAGCAAACGAATTTAAAAACCGGCTCAAACATGAATGACATACCAAAATACCAGCAAAAACATCTTCAATTTTTATAATAGTAGAGATAGAGATAAAAACTTAAGGTGAACAAAATATGGTACCACCAAATATCTTACTATTACTCCAGTATTTCAGAATCGGATATTGGATATACGTCATATGATACCTGAGCCAGGGGGATTTTGGTTTTGAATCACTTGGGCGTTTCCAGGACTCTGTTGAGTCTTTGTCTCCAAAGAGAGCATTTTTAGAGACAACTTCCGCAAGTAATCAGACTGGTAATGCAAAAGAATACAATGGTAAGATTTGGCTTTGTAATAAATAACTTGCCACCCTAAATCCTGGTGGTTAGCACAATTGAAACATATGCTTCGTTTTTTTATACTATGATTTAAATTATACAAATTCTTATCTATACAGCAAGCTACTTTGGCATGAATAAGCCTGATGAAGTATGAACAGGAGAACAATTGGAATATGGAGATTATGAAACCCTATACCCAGCCAAGGAAGCTCCTACAAAAATGTTTACCAAAATGAAGTACTAACACAAAAGGAAGGACTGGAGTAAACCATTGTTTGATGTTTCATCTCGGATAAAGGGAATATTTTACAGGTGATTTATACAAGCATGAACAGATGAAATGATGGGCTTACAGAACTCAAGGTACAACTCCTGTACTTTTAACATGGCCAATGAGAGAAACCAGTCTCATGGTAAAAATATTGTTTAGTTCTATAATTCATTATTACTAATTTACTATTGAGATATGTTATTAATGAAAAATGATGTGGGGACATCAACACCTCTAGCATAGGACTGAATCAGTCTTAGTCCCCGTATTAAGGCGCAAAGGAGATTTTCTACCGATAAAATGGAAGGAAAAAGTTTCAGCAGCCTTGGATAATCTGGTGGAGGTGTGAAATATTACCATCGGTTCAAAAAAAAAGTGGATACTTCATGGTGAAACTCTAACAAACTTCAAAATCAACAGACATATTTGCAAACATTTGAAGATCGATTTCTTCTACTAAGATCCCAAATGCCATGCTTGAGCCCCACAACTGAAAGATTGGATCAACCGGAGGAAGTTAGCAAGAGGCTAAGTGTACCCGGCTGGTGGCTCCAGTATAGATTTTCTCTTCAAATCGCACTGCTAACTTTTGAAGTTCATTCAGCCCCTCAGGCCCTGATACTGGTAGATGCTTCTTCAGAGTCTCCAGTCTGTACATAGATTGCAACAAGCAAGTAAATGACAAATATATCCCATGCAGAAAAAAAAAGAGAGAGATATATTGCTTTTGAGATGTTTTGTGCAAAAAAAAAATTGTCACCTAAGGCATAATGTGTCGGTCTACCATTTAAGATGTTGGACAAATGAGTGGGAAAATATGTAATGCAAACCACATATATAGTGGAAACTTGGAAACTACCGTTGGATTGGGAAATGGACGTCCGAGATTCGTCCACGTCACCATGAGTTAAAATTTAACTCGCAGATTCACTTATGAGTTAAAATTTTACTAGGAGTTAAATTTTAACTCATGGTGACGTGGGCGAATCTCGGACGTCCATTTCTCGATCCAACGGTAGTTCCAAGTTTCCACTACATATGTGGTTTGTACTACATATTTTCCCCAAATGAGTAGGCATCGCCCACGTTACGCGCTCAAATATCGGAATAATTAATTATTTGTCACTCTTACGAGGGGTGATAAATGATTTGCCACTGGATCCACATGTCATATACACATGAGGGCTCACATGTTATACACAGCGAGTGGCAGATAATTAATTGCCACATCTTAAAAGTGAAAAAAAAGTTAAATGTCCCTCAAATATCATACTACTAGTGGCTATGACCAAAAGTGGACATACATGATCCAACATAAAGAAGTAAAATAAACGAGAGAGGTAGGTGGTTTCTCCATCAAACAGTTTGCCTTGCCATCATAATCCCCTCGAAGGGAAGATCCATTTGAACATAAGGGAAGGGGTGCATCTTCCAGTCGAAGGTAAGCAAACCTCTATACTGTATGTATGTGTTTTTCTATGTAACTGTGTCCGATGAAATGTAAACAGAGTTCAATTGGATATCTAGACTAGGTGAACTAGACAAGAATGTCAAAGCTAATAAGAAACCGGAGGCATCTGAACATAGAAGGGAAGGGGGATGAGTAGATACATCTTGTTGACGATCCTGGTGCGTCCCTCAGACTGGAGCTGGGAGCGCCAGTCGCCGCCGGCGGGGGCGGGGGCGGGGGCGCTGAGATCGATGCCCCCAGCGGCGGCGGGGTCGGCCCCCTGGGTGGGCCTCCAGTTGCCGCCGCCGCCATCCATCCTCCTCTTCGTCTTCCTCTTCTTCTTCTTCGATTGCAATTTGCAAGCCAGCGAAGAAGCAGCAGCCGTGGAGCTGATCTGTAGCCGATTTGGTGAGATACCCATCGCCAGAGTCAACCATGACACAACGAAATTACTTAGCTGCCCTACCAACCACTAGGTACCCCGCGGCGGAACGACGTTAGTACCAACAGGCAACAGGTACCGATCAATCATTTCCATCCGATTAACCTTAATCAATGGCTGAGATTTGATACCTCCCCTCTCAAGTACTAAGCAAGTTTTAATAGTATAGCCCACTATTAACTCCAAATCATCATAGCCAATGTACTCCCTCCGTTTTATAATGTAAAGCATTCTACCATTGCTCACATCATTTAACATATATATAAATGTGGGCAATACTAGAATAACTCTCGTTATGAAACAGAGGAAGTAATAGCCGATTTATACAATAGCTACTTGCTATAATATTAATACCTAGTCTCACCTGTCATACACACATTACGTCTTGGATTTCATGCTACGCCTGATTACAAATCTGTAGCCCATTGTTCTTCTCTCTCTTCCTTTATCTCTTTAAAATATGTTTATAGCTGGCTTATAGCCTGCTATTGTACCTGCTCTAAGGCTGCGTTTGGCAGCTGGAGAAAGCATGCTGATCTACTAAATAGGGTGTTTTTTGCAAAAAAAAAATTCTATATGTAATTTGCTTTAGAAAATCTTATTAATCCATTTTTGAAGTTTGAAATAATTAATACTCAATTAATCTTGTACTAATGGCTTACCTCGTTTTGCATATCTTCTCAATCGTCTCTTTTCCCCTCATCTCAAACTCACCCTAAAACTCCTCTTCCTACGCTGAGTTTTCTCCAGCTCTTCCGCGCACATGCTTTTCAAACTGCTAAACGGTTTATAAAAATTTTTTATATGAAAGTTGCTTTAAAAATCATATTAATCTATTTTTTATATTTATTTTAGCTAATACTTAATTAGTCATACACTAAACGCTGCTCCGTTTTACGTGCGAAGCAGAGGGTTCCCAACCTCACTCCCTAACACAGCCCTAGTCACCTAGTCAGTCCCATCGATATGGGTCAGTGGTGATGCGCCTATGCATCTGAACTGGCCTAGATATATTTCCGTATAGGAAAGTGAATCGATCTACGGATCTCAAAAAACAGAAAAATGATACTCATAATTACTCATTAGTATATGTATACATTGCTTTTCGATCTATCTCCCCATCTCGCAGACTGTCCATCTGCCACCACCATGAACATGGCGCCGGCCTCCGGTTTTTTGGAGCTCAAACTAGATTATTCGGCGACCAACGCCTACGCCGTCGGCGACATGCTCACCTCCGACGTCTTCTCGGCCGGTGGGTTCACCTGGAGTGTAGACTATTACCCGCGTGGTTACGAGAAGGAGGGCAACAATGGTGATTACTTATCGCTCTTCCTAAAACGGCGGGGATGGGACGACGGACGTCTCCTTCGTCGTCGACGGCGAGAGGTTCGCCGCCCACCGTGCCGTGCTCGCCGCCCGGTCGCCGGTCTTCAGGGCGGAGCTGTTCGGCGTCATGTCCGAATCCACCTCGTCGTGCATAACGCTGAAAGATATCGACGCTGCAACGTTCAGAGCTCTACTCCGGTTCATCTACACCGACGACTTGCCGGCCGCAGACGCCGGCAAACTCAATCATCAGGGCTCCTCGATGGGCGCGTTCTTCCAGCATCTGCTCGCCATGGCTGACAGGTACGCGCTCGACAGGCTTAAGCTCATGTGTGGCCAGAGGCTGTTGCACAGCATGACGTCGGATTCAGTCGCCGGAATCTTGGCTTGCGCCGAGACATACGATTGCCCGGAGCTGAAGAACAAGTGCATCGACTTCTTTGCCGTCGAGGAGAATTTCAGGAGAGCCGTGTTCACCGATGGTTTTGCGATGCTGGTGCAGAAATTCCCGCTCATAGCTGCTGAGCTGAAGAAGAGGATTGTGAAACCGTAGCTGCATATATATCTTTTAGTCCTCTATCGCGTTCACTGCACTTGTGTTATGTTTTTTTTTTCTAAGTTATGTCTGGCTTTGAACTTGTTTTTTTTTATCATGTTTAATTATATTGGGGGTGTTATATGTACTAGCTGAATGCTCTTGCTTTTCATCAGAATTTGTCCAACTACTTCATCAGCTGATCTTGGGGTTTGTTGGAAGCTTCATGCATTTCTTTGGTTCCAAATATACCACCAGGCGCCTGGAATCGACCATATTATCAATTGGGTATTTTTATCATTCTTAAGATACTTAGAGATGCTATATATTCTAGGGAGACGACTCCGTGTCGGACGTCCGATATTCCACCAAATATCGGACGCCCGACTGTTTACGCGTCATCACACCACCTACGTATGCAATATGCAAAAAAAAAAAAAGAATCAGTCAGTCAAATGTTCCAATTAACTAACGAGTGAAATATCAAGTTATATAGGGTTAAAAAAAATCAGCAACTGAAACATTTAAAAAGTTTATGAAACATGGTGAAGATACACGTTAAAACATATCGCTATCACATATGAAACAACCAATGTTAATGGATTGAAATATATGTTTTTCTTTCATCAAAATATAATTATGCGATATCCTGTTGTAAAGATTTAATTACAAAGAATACAACGGTGTGATCGGATCGTAGATTGGATAATTAATTTAAGAGAAAAATCGTTTTGAAACTAGCTAAAATGCATGCATGTGGAGAGAGAGGAGAGACGCTGAAGACACATATTGAAACATGTATCTATCACGTATGAAACAAAAAGTGTTAATGGATTGAAACATATGATTATTTTTTATCGGAATATAATCATGCGACATTTTGTTGTAAAGATTTAATTACAACGAATACAACGGTGTGATCAGATTATAGATTAGATGAGTAATTTAAGAGAAAAATCGTTTTAAATATCGTTAAAGGTGCATGTTATATGGTTGGAGGTAGAGATATAGGCTTGGATATGTGTATGTGTGTCAGAGGCTGCCTGTCCGATTTTTGTCATTGCTTCGAACGTTCGATGAGAAGCATTTTCTATTTTCTAGTGTAAAATTTGATACCTCTAGATACTATAATAAGTTTCTTAAGGTACCAAAAATTATAGTGCAAAATTTAGGTATCTCAAGTATTTTCTAAAGGACTGCAAAATTCATCTTATCATGTTCATGTGCCGGGCATGTATCCGAATCCAATAAGACTACGACACAACAAATCGATCGACACATCCAAAAATCGATCGACACGACAAATCGATTTTCTTATTATGGAAATACCGAAATAGGAGTTTGTACTATCCAATAAGAAAATCGATCGACACATCCAAAATTAGAGAAAGAGATCACAATACATATATATAACTCATCACATCGGCATTATACGGTATACACATTGGCGTTCGTTCGATATCTATCTATCCTTCTCAGTCTTTCTGCTGAAATCACACGTACGTCTCATCTCAGCACACGATCGATCGAGCATGGCGCCGGCCTCCGGTTTCGTGGAGCTCAGACTGGATTACTCGGCGACGAACGCCTCTGCCATCGGCGATCCCATCAACTCCGACCTCTTCACCGCCGGAGGGCTAACCTGGAGGGTGAACTGCTACCCGCGCGGCGACAAGGCAGACAACAATGGCGACTACATCTCGCTCTACCTCGAGCTGATCAGCAAGTCCAAGAACATCAAGGCCATCTTCGACGCCTTCATGGTGGATGAACACGGCAACCCGTCCGATGGATCGAACAGGTTAGTGCAGGTCTACCCACCCGCGGGCTATCCCGCGTGGGGATGGCCACGATTCGTGAAGCGAAGCAATTTGTCATCGGTGTTCGTGGTGGATGGCAAGGTCAGGATCATGTGCGTCGTCGTCGTCCTGCGTGACGACGACGGAGACGGCGACGGCAACCGTGTGCCGCTGCCGTCGCCGGGGGTCACCGGCGGCCATCTCGACGGCGGCTTATTGCCGCTGCCGCCGCCGAACATCGGGGTCCATCTCGGCGGCCTGCTGGACAGCGAGGATGGTGCGGATGTCACCTTCGTCGTCGTCGGCGGCGGCGGCGAGAGGTTCGCCGCTCACCGTGCCGTGCTCGCCGCCCGGTCGCCGGTGTTCAGGACGGAGCTCTTTGGCTGCAAGTCCGAATCCACCTCGCCGTCGTCGTCGTGCATTACGCTGCAGGGAATCGAGCCGGCGATATTCAGAGCTCTGCTCCGATTCATCTACACGGACGAGTTGCCTGCAGACGCCGGCAAACTCCATCAGGGCTCCTCGTCGACGAACGTGTTCTTCAAGCACCTGCTCGCCATGGCCGACAGGTACGCGCTGGACAGGCTAAAGATCATGTGCGGACAGAGGTTGCTGGACAACATGACGCCGGATTCGGTCGCCGCGATCTTGGTTTGCGCCGAGATGTACAACTGCCCGGAGCTGAAGAACAAGTGCATCGATTTCTTTGCCGTCGAGGAGAATTTCAGGAAGGCCGTGTTCACCGATGGTTTTGCACTGCTCATGCAGAAATTCCCGGTCATTGTTGCTGAGCTGAAGAAGAGGGTTGAGAAATTGTAGCTGAAATATTTATATATCTTGTACTAGCTCTCTAGCTACCACGTTGACTGCTCTTCTGTTATGTTTTTTTTTTCTAAGTTTTGCGATCTCTTGATTTGAACTCGGGTGATTTTCACATACACCTGATGCAGACGGATCAAAGACCTGCATGTGAAAATATTTTTTAGCGGTATGAAAAAAAATCCTTTTTTATAGTGTATCAAAGATGCTCATATACCAAATTTTATATAAAAAATATGATATCTCCCGGTAATTCCCAAGTAGTACAAAATCACTCATACATTAGCTTATAAAATTATTAGCAACTAATAGTTGTGTGTATCGGGAAACTGTTTTAATCACCTAGGTGGATGTCCACCCGTTTATTGCATGTCATCTAAATGGTTATGAAAAAAAATTAAAATAATTAATAAGATAGATCAATATGTAATATACCACTTCATAAACATGCAAGTTAAAATTCAACTTCTATAAATTGTAACAATTAATTTTGTTATTTTTGTTATAACTAGCAAATATGCCCGTGTGTTGCACCGGGTGAATATCAAACAAACATGGATGCTTAAGATTGCTTTGTACTTATAACACATGTGCACAAAAATATTGAATTTGGAAGCGTACATATCAGAAAAATATGCAATTAATTAAATACAAATTTATTGACATATTTGGTATTTTTAAGTAGGTATGTGTATAATTAAATAAATTTACAAGTAAAGCAAATGTGAGAAATAAAATAACATGGTTAAATTTAATTTTATTAAATTCTCCATGATTAGTTACGCTCTTTAGAATTTTATTGGAATTTTTAGAGCTTAATTGTTAATTTTAATAATACAAACATCATTTAACAATTATTTAATTGGAAAAAGAAAGAAAATCCTTCATTTTAGGTTTGATTCGAAATAAACACATTCAATAACTATAATTGTAAATGCTTCTGAATCTTTTTCTTCGGCCCGAGGGACCTAAAATAGACTTCTTTTCGTCCCTTGCCGGTCGGCCTATGGCCTTTTGCGCATGCGCGGGCGCTCTACCCCTCCCCAGGCCGCAACCTAGGCTTGGGCCGGAAAAGTGGCCTCGCTCTCGATCCCTCTTGGGCCCATTTCGGCCCGGTTGACGGCGGCCGTCCGATCTCTAGGGTTTTGATCGGACGGCCGAGCGTCGAGATCGGGGAAACAAAAACCCCCTCCCTCTCCTTAGCCATCAAAAACCCTAGCCCATTTCCTTCTCTCCCTTCTCTCGCTTCGCCGCCCTCCCCTCCGCGCCCCTGATGCTCCCGTGACAAAGCGGCGGCGGCGGCGGCGCCTCTCTCCCCGAGCGACTGCGGCGGCGACGCCGCCTCTCCCCCCGAGCCCAAGCGGCGGCAGCGGCGCCCTCCCCCCGAACGGCAGCGGGGGCAGCGCCCTCCCCCGAGCCCAAGATGCGGCGGCGGCGCCCCCCCCCCCCCCCCCGAGCAGTGGCGGTGCCGCCCTCCCCCTGTGAGCGGCGACGGCGGCTCCCCCACAACCGGCAGCGGCGGGGGCTGCGGCGCCCAGGGAGGCATCGACAGCCCGCCAGCGTCCCAGCGGCGGCGGTGGCGGCTCGACGGCGACCTCCCCTTTGATCCTTTTTTGATATATTTGTGTGTGTATATTGCTTCCTCCGATTTTATTTTATTTGTGTGATTGATTGAATTCTGATTGGGAAGTTTTTTTGGGTCGGGGTGATGGAATTCCGACTAAGATTTAGGAGAGGCGAGGGGGACAAAAAAATCACCGCACATATGAGGTGACGAACGAAAAAATAAGAATATTTATATTAGTTATATATTTGTAGAAGTTGAATTTGAACATGCATGTTTGTAGAATTGTATATTACATATTAATTTATTTTATCAAATATTTTTTAAAAAATTTATAACCATTTAGTTAACATGTTTTTACTCTATAGTGATTAGAATCCGGTGTGTATCCGCAGTTTCGTTTCATTTGTTTTTTGACTATCAATCGCACTGACACGCACCAGGCGTCCAGGCGTCGTCGTCTTCACATTCTCGACGCTTTGGAAGAGGCGTTGTATGGAGACATCATGGATCTTCTCCTCTCCGCGGTTGGAACTCCAAAGCGTTACTAATTACTCCCTCCGTAAAAAAAAAAGAAAGACAAACCTTGATTTTCGTGTCCAACGTTTGACCGTCTGTCTTATTTAAAAAAGATATAAAATAAATTAAAAAGACAAGTCACGCACAAAGCATTAATCATGCTTTATCATCTAACAACAATAAAAATATGAATTATTAAAAAAAATTATATAAGACGGACAGTCAAAGTTGGACATGGAAACCCAGGGTTTATCTTTTTTTGGGACGGAGGGAGTAGACCCTGTTTAGATGGGACTAAAACTTTTAATTTCCTATCACATCGGATGTTTGGAAATTAATTATAAATATTAAACGTAGACTATTAATAAAACTCATCCATAATCTTGGACTAATTCACGAGACGAATCTATTGAGCCTAATTAATTCATGATTAGCCTATGTGATGCTACAATAAACATTATCTAATTATGAATTAATTAGGCTTAAAAAAATTGTCTCGTGAATTAGCTTTCATTTATGTAATTAGTTTTATAAGTAGTCTATATTTAATATTATAAATTAGTGTCTAAATACAGGGACTAAAGTTAAGTCCCTGGATCCAAACACCACCTAATACTTTGCATCGACCTAATACTTTGCATCGATGCGTATGCATGCATTGCTGTACTATAAATTCTCTCTTTAGCAGTCTTTATGTCATAATTTGGCTCATAGTTGATTTTATTTGAGCAGGCCAAATTATCTAAAATAACTTGTACTATATGTGTTAAGTGGTTTGCTGGAAAGACATTATCTAATTATGAATTAATTAGGCTTAAAAAAATTGTCTCGTGAATTAGCTTTCATTTATGTAATTAGTTTTATAAGTAGTCTATATTTAATATTATAAATTAGTGTCTAAATACAGGGACTAAAGTTAAGTCCCTGGATCCAAACACCACCTAGTACTTTGCATCGATGCGTATGCATGCATTGCTGTACTATAAATTCTCTCTTTAGCAGTCTTTATGTCATAATTTGGCTCATAGTTGATTTTATTTGAGCAGGCCAAATTATCTAAAATAACTTGTACTATATGTGTTAAGTGGTTTGCTGGAAAGACAAATTTATGTGTGTCAGGATTAGTTGTGATGCACTGGGATTATATACGTAATTGATGGAAGGCCATAATGGCTGACTTAGCTTGGAGACATATGCTTGGATCATTGAATTTCACAGCAGACAACTCGGCTCCTGTACTGATCGATTGCATGCCGAAGCTGTGGATGTGCGTGGTTGCCAGGAGTGGAAGATAGATATTTTTGGTAGTTTATTTGTTAGGATTTTCTGGTACCTTGTTTCCGTAGATTTCTCGTCTGCGCCGTAGCAGTGCATATACCCTTATAATCTTATACATATCAGGGGTTTTAGATTCGAGGACGACCCCGAACATTACCGATCTGCTATTTTTCTCGTTCCTTTACTTTTCCGTTATTTTCTATTTTACTTTTATGCCTGAGTTATAGCAATCCTAGGATTTGGTTGATCTTTACCGTTTTGCGCTGAAAAACGGTTGTGCTTCTCTATAAAAATGAGGAGGTTATCCTTTGCTAGTTTACTCGGAAACTAGTCGTTCGTCGTCACGTAAGTACGATATTATCTTCTTTACTAATTTGCTCGTAAATTAGCTGTGTGATTCCATGAAATTGAATTAATCTCGAAATCGGTTCCGCTAGCCGATTTTGATCTATCGATTTTGGCAACTCTGTTAATTATACCGTAAATCGTTAGGTGATCTTGTGTTGGCCGTGAAAAAGTGTCAACCAGCAGATCAAATAATAATACTACTACTACTCAGGCGGTCAGGTCCCATAGACGCCAGTAGCAACATGGTGTCCTCCGGTTTCATCGAGTACAAGTTTGACTACCAACAAATCCACAAGCTAGCCATTGGCGAGAGATTGCCAGCAACAACAATCTCGACAGGGGAGCACAATGCGAAGATCATGTGCTACCCGCATGGGTTTGGGTACGGCAATGGTGAATACATCTCTCTCTTCTTCGTGATGCTGAAACAGATTGACCCCAAAATCAAGGTGATCTTTGAGGCCTTCCTGATTGGAAAAGATGGTACACCATCCTCGTTCCATGCGAAGAGGACTATGCAGTGTTGGGCGTCCCAGGATGGCTACGACTGGTTTGGGTGGCATCGCTTTGTGATGCGAAGCGATCTCGAATCACTCGACGGTATGGTCACATTCATATGTGGGCTCGTAGTTCTGCGCAACGACGACGACGGCGACGACCATGTCGCCGTGCCGCCGTCCAACCTGGGCAGCCAGCTCGCCGCCATGGTGGGCAGCGCCGTCGGCGGCGAGACGTTCCACGCGCACCGGGCCGTGCTCGCCGCGCGCTCGCCGGTGTTCAGGGCGGAGCTCCTCGGGTCCATGGCGGAGGCCACCATGCCGTGCGTCACGCTGCGTGACATCGAGCCGGCGACGTTCAGAGCTCTGCTACACTTCGTGTACACGGACGTTCTGCAGATCGAAGGCTCTTCGTCGACGAGTACAACTGATCTGCTTCAGCGTTTGCTCGCGGCGGCGGACAGGTTCGCGCTGGAGAGGCTGAAGCTGATGTGCGCCCAGAAGCTGTGGGAGAGCGTGTCAGTGGAGACGGTGATAGCGACTCTGTGCTGCGCCGAGATGCACAGCTGCCCGGAGCTGAAGAACAGGTGCATAGATCTCGTGGTGACGAAAGACAACTTCATGGAGGTAGCGGTAACCAAGGACTACTTTCATCTTGGGCAGAGTTTTCCGTCAGTTATCGAAGAGATAAAGCCACGGCTTAAGAAGTGAACGTTGAAACATTATACTCCCTCCATTCCAAATTGATCTATATATAACGTTTAGCCCTTTTATTACGTCGATAGATATCATAATTATTATTTGAATATTGCTTATTAGTCTTATAAGTTGCAAAACTGCATATTAATCCGTCGCACCTCGTGCATTTCTTTTAATAATTCCGCGTTTGTACTGTCTATTCACGTCTGAGAATTGGTTGTGTTGGTATTTGGTTGGTCATATGGGCGTGACGACGGCGGGCAGGTAGAAGACCTCCTTCCCCACGCCACTCCTTCGATCTCGAAGTGGTTAGCACCAATCTGCAACCGGTGGGCTTGCTTGTTGCACATGATTGGTGGATGCATCGCTCTTTCTTTTTTTTCCGTTTAGATGTTATGGCTGTTTTGGGCAAATGAATGAGCCGAAATGCAATTTGAGATGCTATTTTTTGAGATTTGTTCTTGTCTGTTTTTTGGGGAAAATTTTCAATCTGGGTATGACACCGAGTTGGCCACGGCTTATGGAGACAGAAACGCATACGCGGTCTCACCGATACGGATGAAAATAGCTTCGATTTTTTTTTGCCCTTTATTTTATCACCAATCGACCAGAGTCCGGAGATGATCTGTTTACAAATCCTAATTAAAAATTTATCTGAATCCCCTGTCGTTTATTCCTCACCAGACCGAACAACTCATCGCTACTTTCGGTAGTATAAATTGTCCTCTCTCTCGTATGATCAAATTAATTCTCCTTTTGGGATATCCGCACGCAACAAAACATACGCCGCCGGCGACCATGCTGTCCTCCGGTTTCATCGAGTACAAATTTGACTACCTAGAAGCCTCTTGGATGACTGTCATCGGCGAATGGGTACCAGAAAGAAGAATCTCGGCCGGGGAGCACAATGCGACGATTGTGTTCCACTTCTACTCGCATGCAGGGTGCAAGTACATCTCTGTCTTCCTGCTGCTGGATGAGAATGAGATCGACCCCAAAATCAGCATTATCTTTGAGGTTTTCTTGATGGACAAAGACGGGAAACCTTCCTCGCACCATGCAAAGAGGACCATGGGGCCAAACATGGAGACAGCATCGGGTCTCCGGTTCACTGGGTGGCGTCACTTCGTCAAGCAGAGTGATCTACAGCCGGATCATGTCAGCGACAAAGGCACGGTCACATTCGTGTGTGGGTTCATGGTTGTGCGCAACGACGTCCACGGCAATCCTATCCCCGTGCCGCCCCCCAATCTGGGTGCCCAACTCGGAGCTATGGGGGGCAGCGCCGACGGCTCGGACGCGTCGTTCGCCGTTGGCGGCGAGACGTTCCACGCGCACCGGGCCGTGCTCGCCGCGCGCTCGCCGGTGTTCAGGGCGCAGCTCCTCGGCTCCATGGCCGAGGCCACCATGCCGTGCGTCACGCTGCACGACATCGAGCCGGCGACGTTCAAAGCTCTGCTACACTTCGTGTACACGGACGTTTTGCCACCATTGTTAGGTACATCCGACCTGCTTGAGCCGCTTCTCGCAGCGGCAAACAGGTATGCACTGGATAGGCTGAAGCTTATGTGTTCCCAAAAGCTATGGGAGCTCGTGTCGGTAGAGACGGTTGCAACGACTCTGATCTGTGCCGAGTGTACAACTGTCCAGAGCTGAAGAGCAGATGCTTCAATTTCCTCACGGCTGACAGCAATTTCAAGAAGGTAGTGGTTACCGAGGGATACTTTCACCTTGGTCAGAGTTTCCCGTTGGTTATTGAGGATATAAAAGCGAGGATTGAAACTTGCGACTTCTTTGAGAAGTACATTAAAGGCCCTATTTAGATCTGGAGGGCTATTAAATAGCCCTATGAAATCTTGTTATTTAGGAGTATTAAACATAGATTACTGACAAAACCTATTTCATATCTCCTAGGCTATTTTGCGAGACGAATCTAACGAGGTATATTAATCTATGATTTGCTACAGTGATACTACAATAATCAGCCACTAATCATGGATTAATATACATCATTAGATTCGTCTCGCAAAATAGCCTAGGGGTTATGGAATCAGTTTTGTCGGTAATCTATATTTAATACTTCTAAATAGCAAGATTCCGGAGGGCTATTTAATAGCTCGGAGGATCCAAACAAGGCCAAAATTAAGCGGGATATATAAGTTATACCGTATCATATTTTTGTTTATGTGATGAAGGTTGAAGAAAAGTGAGCTACAAATTTATAGTCAGCTCCAGTACGGGCTCAAACAAACTATATGAGAGAGATTAGTTGATTAGACATTAATTACTTATGTGGTACATATATATACAATTAACTGTTGTATGGGTGGACTATTAGGTTGGTTATAGATAATGTTTTAATTTTGGAGCTAGTAGTTGGCTATATTGTTAAACTTAATCTTATACACTTCCTCGAGTCATAAATATTTTATCTGTAAAATAAGATCTATTTAAATTTTAGTTTAGTTTTTTTTTAAATTCTATCCATCGACAGCCTATTAATCTTTATAATCTTATTATAATAATACTCCCTCCGGGTTGATAATACTTATCGTTTTGGACAATTGAATGATCTCCAAAAACCAACTTTGTCCATTATTTTTCATTATAATATGTATAAAAGTGTTAACAAATATATGGTTTTATTAAAGTACTTTTTAATACTAATTTATACATATAGTCACCATATTTGAAAATAAATATTTTAAAAATAATTCATAATCAAATATTCTAAAGTTTGACCTCACCCTTATCTAAAACTACAAGTATTATCAGCCTGGAGGGTGTAAAAAACTGATGGCAATAGTTTCAACAAGTTTGATCAAATATCATCGTAAACATTAAATATTTATGACTAACTATAAAATTTTACTTGTATCATCTTGTCATTAAATATTTAATGGATAATCGTTTAAACGGTTTAGCCGACCTGCTTGAGCCGCTTCTCGCAGCGGCAAATAGGTCTGCACTGGATAGCCTGAAGCTTATGTGTGCCCAAAATATTTGGGAGCTCGTGTCGGTAGAGACGGTTGCCACAACTCTGATCTGTGCCGAGACGGTTGCCACAACTGCCCAGAGCTGAGGAGCAGATGTCTCGATTTCTTCACGGCGAACAGCAATTTCAAGAACGTAGTGCTAACCAAGGGCTACTTTCAACTTGGGCAGAGTTTCCCGTTGCGAGGAGATAAAAGCGACGATTGAAACTTGAGATTTCACTTGTGCATTTCCTCAAGTCCTAAATATTTTGTCTGTAAATTAAGAGTTAAATTTTATAAATACAAATTTAGTTAAAATATTTATGCTATATATATCCATCAACAGCCAATTAAATTGGGTGAATAGCTAAAGTGGTCCCTCAAGTTTTATTTGAGGCTCAGTTTAGTCCTTAATGTTTCAATTTACCCGTATTAGTCCTTCGAGTTGTTTTCATTTTAGTTCAAACATATCCTTGAACCAACAACTCTCTTGATAAATGACACTTATATCCCCATCATTCACATATATAAGAGAAAAATTACATGCTTGATTTTTTTATAGATAATACATAGTAAATTATGTAAAACGAAAATAAATTATGTACTAGAAAGCGTATACGATATGTGCACATGTTGAAATAATGGGAAGTACATCTGCAATGTTGTTTATTCATCTTGGTTTTCTCTTTTCTGGTATATAGTTGTATACAAATTAAAGGCAAAAGGAATATTTTCTAATAGAAATATTAACTAGAAATAGTCATATGGCATATTAAGTGGGCCAAGGATGATTTCAAACCAAAGCAAATATTTAGAGGAGCCATGTGGACAAAATGAAACGTGAAGGATCAAATTGAGCCTTCGATAAAACTCGAGGGACTCAATTAGCTATTCACCCTATTAAATTTTATACACTTATTTTTATTTAATACCAAACTTATGGTAAGTAGCTTATGATCAAATATCATCCTAAACATTAAATATTTATAACTAAGTATAAAATTTTACTCGCATGTCTTATCCTAGCTAGTTGTATGTCCTAGATATAGAGGCTGGGATTTACCCCTCCATTTCTAAATAAGTACTCCTCTATTCCATAACATAAGACACAACTATTTTTTAAAGTTATTTCATAATAGAAGACGTGCATGCATGTATGTCATTAACTAACACATATTTTCCATTAAAATATTATTATTTAAATGCTAATCATCAAGATTTCTAATTTAATTGGGTACATGCATTCTATTTATTAGGATAATCCGAACTATAATGTGATAATAATTATTTCTTAGTTTTGGGTTAAGAGTGGTTGTGACTTATATTTTAGAATAGAATAGAGGAAGTATAGTTGTAACTTGAAGATTAGTCTCTAATTAATAATGTAGTTTTAGAGTGGTCCATTAGACCTCTTTATTACTACTATTCCCTCTATCTTATAATTCAAAATTGGCACGGTCTCAAAAACTAATTTTTAGCTAATAATTTCTCATATACTTGAAGGTTTGTAGCAACGAAATTATAACCATATAAAAGTAAATTTAATTCTCAATCTAATGACATATTTTTAACAAATAAAATGCATTTCATATTATATTAAGTGTTCGTCAAATGTTTTAAAGGTTGAATCTTAAAATACGTACGCGTCTTATATTATCCGATGGAGGAAGTACTTTACTTTTTTTCTTCTCGTTTTTAATAGCACTCCCTTCTCCTCGTTTTCTTCCCCTTGTCTCTTTTTCACTCTGTATGCTTGATTTGATTAATTAAAATTGCACTTATTTATTTAGAGATGGAGAGTACGTTGGTATCGTGAATTTCCTTGCATCTATAATTAGTTTTTAGACGCAAAGCTGCAAATTAATCCATGAGCCATGCATGGCTGCATTTTTATACTATTTATTATACTAATATTAAGTCTTCACCGTAGAATAGGCGAGTTCATTGGTACATACCAATGTTAACGCGGCACATCAAGAAGAAATATGTTCTTCGAATTGTAAGGTTTGATTGGATATTGGCGGTTTGGCTTCTGTAATCTGTAGAGTAGAATTGGTTGTGCCTTGACTATGCACTCTTTCATGGGCCGCGCCAAACCGGCAATCTACTCCGGATTTCATCAGCTAGCGGCC